AGTTTTGGCACTGGTGCGAACGTCTAACAGATGAGAGCAGGTGTACTTTAGCAGTAAATGTTCTGCTACTTGCAGTTTTGTTCAGAATGGGGGATTTAATGGTGAGTCGACATTGGCATGCCCACGGAAGGACACACAGAGATATACAGGATTAAAAACTGCAGCCTGACTGCCATTAGGTTTCAGGATGAATTCCTAAGACCCATTGTAAGACCCCTCCCTACTGTTGTAGGTGTTGAGTTCCTCTTTGTGGATGAAAATGGCTGCCTTAATGTGACAAGAGTATGCAAGCAGTTTGGAAGGATGGAGGAACTGATGCAATTGACTTTCTTACATTCTTCACTGACCCAAATCCAATTAAACATCATCTTTAGGTCCATCTAACTCAATCAGGCCAAAACCTCGGGCGCCCTAAGACCTAAGTGATGCCTAGAAGGAATCATCTAGAAGGAAATAGCACTAGGGATGGGAATCGAAAACCGGTTCCTGTTAAGAACCGGTTCCGTATTTTCCGATTCCATGGCATCGTTTGGCAGCTCGCTGAACGATTCTTTTTTCGATTCCCGCAGCACCAGAGCCTAGAGCGCCGGCTCTGGGGAGCACGACTTACGTCACGTTTTTTACGTAAGTTACGCAAGTTACGCAAGTTACGCAAGTTGGAAGAACTATTCGAGGAGGAAGACAACGAGCTGCGGTCACTTTGTGAATCTTTCCTTAGCCCAGAGGGTAGATCAGGAAATCCAGCTCTGTAAAAGCTTGCCCTCCATCCCCTGCAGGGATAGCGCCACACTGTGGTGGTGGAACAAGCAAGATACGCTGCCCTTGCTATCTGGACTGGCTGAAAACTACCTCTGTGTGCAGGCTTCCTCCACCCCATCTGAGAGGGTGTTCTCCACGGCTGGAGACACCTTAAGCGCTGAAAGATCCCGTATCCTTCCAGAAAAAGCAGATATGCTCATCTTTCTGCAAAAGAACTGTTAATTTTCCCTCACTGCAAAAACAATCTGAAATTAAGTAAAAATATCTTAAATCAAGTGTATTTACCCTTAATTTGAGCAGGTAAATAAGATAGTTTGCCAATGGAATGAGTATTTTTACATTTAAAATAAGATAATTAGATAATATGCATTTGAAATAAGACAATGCAATAGTTTTTTTCTTATTTCAAATGTAAATTGTCTTGTTCCATTGGCAAAATGTCTCACTTACTTACTCAATTCAAGAAAAAATGAACTTATTTTAAGAACAAATGACTTATTTAGATTTACATTTTTTGCAGTGCTACTACTGTTTTATAATTAGTATTTTTTGTTATTTAAAATAGGTTATTATCCCATCATTTGTTATTAGACATTGTTGGTTATTAAGTTTGTTCTTGTATTCATTTTTCATTTAAACACAGATGTTACTCCAGTTTCACATTTCCTGTGGACATCTTGATCTTGTTGAGTTTGTAAGATTGTGCAATAGTTAAGTAAACAAAGTTGATTCTGATAATCAAACTGTTTGTTCTCCTTTTCCCCCCAAATTGGAATCGAAAAAAGAATCGATAAAGAATCGAATCGTTTCATAGAATCGAAAAGGGAATCGGAATCGTGAAAATCTTTTCAATTCCCAACCCTAAATAGCACTGATTTTGTCATCTATGTAGCATGTTCCCCCTTGTTGTCAGGATGCATAAAATCATGTAGACTAAGCACTCTGTACTTACATTGAGCTGTTAAAATGACATTTCACCAAAATGAACTCTTCTTTCACTTTCTAAGTGACATCTGATGAAACATTTTGTGCAATGATAATTTTCATTCTTTTAAGCCTAACACATCACACATTCTGCTTTAGATATCCAGCATCTTTTGTTCCATCAAATTTATATCTGATGTGTTTTCAATGTGTGCCTTGTTTTTCAAACCCATTAAATAGTTTATTATTTATATGAAGTCTGTGTCAGCTATTTTTTTTTTCTTGAAGAAATAGCCCCATTCTGTTTATACTTCCTTTTATTTTTCCCCCCGTTATTCAGGCTGTATTCTGCTTTGAGTTCAAAACAGTGCTTGAATCCTTTTAAATACTTGTAGCGATCCAATGGTAATTATTTTAGCACCAAGAAAATGTCAGCTCTTCAACTGTTTCTGTTTTAAGCAGATTAGACATGAGTTGCAACTACATAGCAAAAAAGTTATTTTAAAATATTTATAAATTAGTCGCCCCATCTATCTCCATTTGCTCTCATAATATGCATACAATTAAAGATCCTTTTGTCAAACTACCTTAATTTATTTTAAGTGTATGACTTTAGTTTGACTTTACATTAAGTGTAAAATATATGTGTTGTTAGTAATGTATTAAAAAAAACACTACTTTTCATCAGGTTTTCCTGTAGTAATTCACCAACTGGTGTGTGTCAACAAAATATCAACTTGTGTTTTTGAGACTGGGAGAAGAAAATAAGAAATAGTGAGGATGAACAGCACTACCTGATAGTGTTGCAGATGGTGGAGAGCAGCGGAGCGATTTGCATAGCACAGAGAAAGCTGCTCAGAACTTGGGGGAGCAAAACATATTCCCTGTAAAAAAAAATGAATATTTTACAATACTGACTATGCATTAATAATTAAAAACATACAGAATGGTTGGTTGTAATGCATCATCAGGTTGTATCATACAGGTTGATCTAATAAATATATTAGATACCCATATTTTATTTAAACACTATTATATGAAGTATAAAATATATAACATTTAAATTTCACCTGTGAATAGTGCAGAGCTGCAGCCTTGTAGTCTCTTGCCTTGAAGCTGCAGTTTCCCCTTTCCCTGCATTTGGATGCTTCTCTAGAGTCTTTCTTTGCTAAATACCCTGCAGAGATCAATTGCACAGCATCCAGATCCTCTTGACTGCAAAACACAAAAAAAGCATTTAACAAGTTATTGGAAATAATACAATGAACATCTTGTTAAAGCCAAAAGGCCATGTCTCAACGAGTCTAACATGCTAATAAAGTACATATAATTCTGGTCAGAGATAAACATACTTTGCGAGACTTAAAGCGCATTTGAAGACATCATCTATTTCACGCAGGGAGTTAAATGTTTTCTTTTGCTTTGGATCAAGTCCACTCCATTTCTGAGCAACGTGATCTTGCCACTGCGCGCAGGGAAGATCCATCATGAACGAGAGTTAAAACATCACGGCATTTGAACGTCAAACTCGAGTTTCTTCTTCTTCTTTTATGGCGGTTGGCAAGCAACTTATTGATGTGCATTACCGCCATCTACTGGAATGGAATGTGGATCGGGATGCTATATATAAATTGTCCCACGTAACAAAACACATATATGGAGGACCCACTCTGCCATATTTAAAAATAAATACAGAAATAAATAAATGCTCAATAAATAAATAAGCATACAATTATTTGCCACCAAAAATACAATAAACAAATAAATGTAAGTAGAAAGTAAATTATACAGTGAGACATAAATGTATATAACTCTTTTATTTAGCTTCTTTATTTATTTGCCTTTGTAATTTTTACCATTATTTTTTTGTCCTTTATAATCTTCAACTTTATTTTTTAATTACTTATATTTTTAAGTATTTATTTATGTGCATGTTATAATATTTTTGTCTGTTTTATTCTTCCTTTGTATTTTTTTACCCTAGTTATTTCTTCACCGCTATTTATTCCTGGCTGTCGTTTTTACATTTCTGTATGCATTTTTGCCTCAATATGCAATGAGGAGGGGTGTGTCCTAGAGAGTCACCTTCTGCTCATTGGTTGGCGGCCCATCTTCACTCAGAGTATTAAATTAAATGTTCTCTTTTCTGTTGCTGTTCAATAAAAGTATGTTTTAGGATTATTTGAGGCGAGTACAACAATACTTTTAAGCATCACCATATGGCCCATTCACAGATTTAATGCGTAATTTAAAAGAAAATGTTCCAAACTTGAGGGGACTAAGGCAACCAGCGGAGCTCCGAAGCTAATGGCAGCCAGGTCTAACGGCAACCCGTCTGCAGCTGCCCTCTCTAGGCATAGCCGTATGTGAAGCGCTGCTGCTATGATGGCGATTTTTTGTTGTGTTTGGCAAAGTTTGTCCTCGCCAAAAACATACTTGGCGAGGACACGAGTCCCTAATTAAAAAATAAAGTTGAAGATTATAAAGGACGAAAAAATAAATAAGGTAAATATTACAAAGGCAAATAAATAAAGAAGCTAATTAAAAGAGTTATATACATTTTTGTCTCACTGCATAATTTAATTTGTACTTACATTTATCTGTTTATTGTATTTTTGGTGGCAATTAATTGTATGCTTATTTATTTATTGAGCATTTATCTATTTCTGTATTTATTTTTAAATATGGCAGAGTTGGTCCTCCATACACACACAAAAAATAAATGAAAATAATTAGGTTGATATATTCTTATATTCTTTCTATCAATTTCATTTTCTTAAGGTAATTAATTAAATAAAAAAAAACATTCAAAGTATAATGTTTGTCCAAAATATCTTGTATATTTAATTGCAATTTATTTTCTTGTAATCAACTAATTCCCTTCTGTCAACAGAATATTTAAAACAGACTAACGAAACACGTTTTACTGTCTCGTCTTGAAAACAAAAATCACAATTTCTTGTTGTATGTTTTCCCATTTTAAATAATGCACTATTTAACCTTTGGCCTTAATTTTTATTTTAGGAAATCTTTTAAACTGCTTGCTGCCATCAAATATCCCTATAAAGCAAACGATATTGAAAACCAGTTTCCGATTAGAACATTCAAAATAAAGTCTAACATCTACTGACTTTTATTATTAATATTATTATTATTAGTTTAGTAGTAGTACTAGTAGTATTAACATTATTATGCGTATAGCGTAGTGATAATAATGTAAAATGTATGTCCCATCAATAAGTGCACATTTATCTTCAAAGCAAACGGATTCTTTTATTTTGAAGGCTTACAGATGTAGTGTGCAATTCTCGTTACTTTTCCTTTTTTCCATCTCGCGAGAAGTGTTATTCTTTTGGTTAGGGTGCGCAGTGTAGGGGCTAAAGTTTGAGAGCTCATAAAACAGTTTTAAGAAGAAGACATGCCTGTAAAACTAACACAAGGGGCAGTTAAAGTAAGCTCGGATTCTAATATAACTGCAAGTTTATTTATTTATTTGTTTCTGGCATTAATATTCTTGTTGTTAATAAATATCAGGTGCTGAGTTTCAGGATCTGCTAGCATGGAGCTAATGAGATTTATCCAATAATATCAACAGTGGCTAGATGTAACGCTACGATTACAAGCCATATGTAGTGATACCACAAAAGCTGAATTAATTCATAACTGCCACACATATTTTATTCAATTTTTTTTGTTAACATGATTTTAATTTTAAAGTAACTGCGACATTACACCACCAAATTTTTTAAGACAGCGTAGTACCACTCTTGGGGAGAGACGAGATTTAATTGTCATCTTATTATTATACAAATGCCGAAGTTATGGCTTTGTGTTAGCATCGTAGTAATTTGATGTGACAGTATGAGATCAAGCTTACTGGTATCTTTCTACCTGTTGTTCTCCAGGCCCTCTACAATGGAACCCCAGTGCACAATCCAGTGCTACAATTAATGGTGAGTGACAGTTGAATGAGCCCACTTATTTAGTATTAGTCTGTTTAGATTTAAAATATAAAAGCTAAATATAACATCTATTTGTGGTTTGTATGTTTCGTTATTAATTAACTTCCAATTTTTATTTTAAACCACGGTGCCAAAAAGTAAGATCAATAAAACGCACTTAATGTCAAAGGAATCATCCAATCAAATCATGCTACTGACATATTCAGAAAGGAGAGGAATTTTCCACACTGTTATTGCCTCCCCTTTATTCTTTGTCTGTATACTGCATGTATAATGATGTAATTACTACACTGATTTTTCAAAATTAAGCACAATTTTGGACGGTGTACATGCCCAGATCATGTAACGCTTGAATTATTTCAGAATTAACATTTACTCTTCATCTTTGATGTAACTTTCAGGAATAGTTTGTTGCACCATCTTTTTAATTTATATATGTTTGTAGGTTTACTGTTCCACAAATTCACTCTAAAGTTAGATCTATACAGTTTTCTTTGTTGCTTTTATTGATGCCTTTTTTTTCATTTATATCCCCCTTAAATTATGTCTTTAACTCGTTTATATGAAATTATCCGGAATGTTATGATACAAATAATCACTTAAATTGTCCTGTGTAATTTTTTTAATTTTAAAAATTGTATTTTTATTTTATTTTTTACAGTGTCCTGTCTGGCAATGTGGCACTAAGAATAATTGTCTTGATGCCAAAAAGAGCCCAACAGATTTTGCTTTCACAAGGAACAGTACGGCTATTCCCATAGTTTTCTGCTAGATTTATTCATACGAATTGCTTTATTATAATTATGCAGGGAGTTTCACAGATTATATGGACACTGCAATGTAAGTAGAACAGGAACAGAAAAAAGGAGGAAAGATGAAAGAAAGAGGAGATAAAAGAGAGATAACGATAAAACATCTTCAGTCTGCTTCATCTGCTGCAAATAGATGAAAAAAGAACAGCACAACAAATGGATATAGTATAAGAGATACAATAAAGTAACACCTTGGTACTATCGCTAAAGTATAAGAAGCATTATTGTAAATTATTATTATTAAATTGTCCTGTGTATTTAGACAGACCAAGTGATTTCCAGTTTTCTTGGAGCTCTGACCTACAGATTTTTCCTTTTGCCGAATCTCTAACTTTGTTTTGGGATTTTCAGGCCCACTACCTTATTAGATACAAGCCTGATCTCTGTTTGTATGTGCTGTCACTATAAGAGGGAGACTATGTTAAAAAGAAAATAAAACTGAGCGCTAAATCATCATAACCTAAACCTTAACACCAAGCATGACAACGCTGACAAAATTCTGCTCTGAATCATTTAAAGTTGCCACAAGAGGAATTAGGAGATGTAACTTCTGTGTATTTTGTATTATAAACCTAATCTTTATCGTCATGTTTTTTAGAACATCCGTAGGCTCACTACCTCAGATTCACCTAGGTACCGTCTTGCAATGAGTGATGGTCAGCATTTCCTGTCTGGTAAGTATCTTAAAGTTGTCAAAACTTATAGTTTGTAGATTAGGTCCTAATTATATAATGAATCATCATATTTGTGCACAATTACATATTAGTGTATACATGTAAAATGTTTACAGCCCCGGTAGCCTAATGGCCTTTTGCCTACAGTATACAAGGTTTGTGAAAATTGTATTTTAGTGTTGAGGAGTTTATGAAGCTTGTATTTCAATAAAGATTTCTAGTCAGAATGTCAAAAGATTAATTTCAACCAGTTTAAGTTAAAAAAAATATATATTTTCAAATTTACTTTGTTGATATCTATATTGCAAATAAGCTCTTTATTTACTTGTTAGGAGGTACATAGACCTGGTGTTTCCACGCTAAAAGACCAATGGGATCAATTTTAATTTTGACCAAAATGATTCCTGTTTTTTGTTCTTGTTTTTCCATGCAGCTGACCAGTATTCATTGTTTTTGTCTTTTTTCTGTGTCCAGCGTTCCTGCTGGCTACCCAGTTAAACCATCTAGCAGAAGACGACCTTCTTGTCCCCAATTGTGTTTGCTTGTTAAAGAGGACCACCACCAACACTTTGTCAGATGGCCGGTATGCCTCTCTTTCTGTATCCTATCTCCTCTTTAGCATTTAAACCCACTCCGCCTTTATGCCACATGATTCTAAAAAGGAAAAATAGATTTTACTTTAGAAGTTAGTCACTATTGCTTTATAATAAAAAATGATTTATCATAAGTTTCCATCTTACTGAGAAAATGTGGTGTTGAAACGGGTAATTTGAATCTTGGTTGTCTAAATATGTATTTTCTTTGTGTAGGCAGGTAGTGGTTGTTGTCGAAATGGAGGTTTTGAAATCAGCTGAGGAAACTGGTGGAAAGATTGGAAATCCTAAACCATATTCAACAGATGGTATAGTTATTCTTTCTGTGGTTAATATTGTAACAATGAATCAAGGGATCTGTGGGTTTGCAATGATGTTTGTTTACCTGCAGGTAAGCAGGCCTCTCCACATATGGTGTCGTCAAACACCTCTGAACCAGCTTCCACTTCAGCTGCTGAATTACCTGGACCCTCCGGCACAAATAGCAACAACAGCAGAGGTGAGGGTGCAGTTAAACACTGATTTGAAGTTTTCTTTCCGTTTCGACTCAGTGCCTCAGAATGACACAGGGCTTAGTGTTTCATTCTATTGTATAGTTGAGATTGTTGCATATACAATTGTATCTCAATATACAGGAAAGTTATCCAAAGGTTAATGGTTCATTATTCAGCAGTATCTAGGGCTGGGTATTGTTCAAAAATTTTCGGTTCCGGTACCAATACCGATACCTTCACTTCGATACCGGTTCCTGAACGATACTTTTTTCGATACCAGTTTTATAATATCAATTCGAAGAAAAAGAAAATTACACAACATAATAAAGTACAAATCTTGAGTTTTATTTTAAGCTCTAATTTTTCCATTTACATTTTTCCTCTTACATAAAAAAAAAAAATCAGTGTCTAATATTCACTGTTACATTGTGAGGACCTTTTTACTTAGCAGTTTTCCTTTAGAAAAATTATAATGTCTGACAAACAAGCCCGTTGAATGGGATCCTATTGACAGAGCACCGCTGGTATGTGGGGGTCTGAGCAGCTCCCACAGAAATAATGGAAGGCAGCCAGAGCAGCAAAGCTTCTTCAGCCGCGCGTCAGAAGCTGGTACAAGCAGCAAAAAAGGAAGCAGCAGACGTGATTTTGCTGCTCTTGCTGCGTCCAGTTTGAAAGCAGCATGATTCACTCCGCTCTGGCTTTGCTCTGCCCACGGGCTGCTGAGAGGAGGATGGTCGCGCCGGCTGCGGTCCGCTCTTCTTGCGGTCAAACACCGAGCAACCTTCTGCTCTTAAATTGTTTCCGTGCACGATGTATTGCTTTGCGCCCTATTGGCATCAGTCTTAATAAAGTGAAGCCGCACTTCTGACCTGGGGGGCATTTTAAAGGGGTTCCATGACGCTCGCAACCAGTTCACAACAGATACACATGAACCCTGGCTGTAGGCGTGACCACCTGTGTATTTTTCCTGGATGACGCAATCACGTTAAATGTTACAGCCAATCACCGAAACTTGGTACCGCAAGACGAGGCATGTTTCGATACTCTGTAGAACCGAAGCATTTCGGTCGGTACCATAAAAGAACCGAAGTTCGGTACCCAGCCCTAGCAGTATCCCATGTTTTTCTTCATCTGTGGATAATATGCACTAAGGTTCGCTGGATTTCCAAAGCTTCAGAAATGGCTTTAAAACTCTTTCCCGACTGAAGTATCTCAATTGTTTAATTTCTCATTCATTCCTGAATATCTATGGTCATCTACATGATGTGTAGCTTTTGAGGATCTTTTGGTGATGATTTCGTAACTGAAATCAGGTGTGGCTAGAGATAGTGACCTCATGTATGGTAAACCACAGTTATATTTTAACCAGGTGGGAATCATAAACAGCTTGTCTTGATGAGTTGTGTTGTATATGACTAGTTAACTATGTGTAATACACCTAAACAAGAGTATATGCATCTTAAAATGAAACATAGAAAAAGTTTTCTTCTAATTATATGCATTTTCCTGTAAACAGAAATCTAATTATTTACTAAATTTACAGTTTAAATTTACATTTTTACAAATTCAATGTTTATTTACACCTCTTTATTGTGTGAGTGGGTAAAAAAAATCTATAAATTAGTCAACACCCTAGTGGTAGCTGGAGCAACCCTGGGGTCGTGCTGCACTTTGAGAGTCCCCGGCTTAAATTACCGTACCCTGAAATAGGTGGCTATTAACTTTCTGGAATTGGCCTGTTTTCTTTTTCTTGTTTTTCTGTTTCTTGTATCTTTTTTTATGTAACACGAAGAGTTTTGCACAACTGACCTTCTCTCCCTACCTGATGGCTGACATCTGGTCTGATGGCTGAAAAAGGATCTTTCACTTTTCTCTTGCTTTTGTGAAAAATTGATAATTTAAAAACTTTACCATTCGCAAGTTGTAGAGCATGAAGATGATGAAAAGAACAGTTTAGATACCATCAGACCAAGGTATATTATTACACATCATGTAGTAGGAATCTGATAGGGTTTTTGTTGAAAGTATAACAGAAAAGTTCTATCATTGTGTTAGCTAATTTAATTCCTGTACAGTATCTCATCTCCTTTACTCTATATTTTCTTACTCCAGCTTTGGGAGACATTGAGATGGCTCACAGGATTTATTCATGTAAAGAATACAGTCAGTCTGTGAACTGAAAGCATTTAATGTAGAATGGATCATTAAAAAAATGAAAAGATATTTAATTGGGGCCAAAGGCACTCTTGTTTCCTTATTCTGCCAGGAGAGGGAGCCATTCCCCCTTCGACTGAAAGGTGCAGAGTTATGTTTAAAGTTTACTGGATTCTATCCTTAATAGTTCTGTTTTGCATTTTCATGCAAAGTTTTATCCTAAATTTAGCACTGATTAGCAAAACTTGCTTTTTTCATTTTTTTTTCACAGAGCTAATGTCAGTTCAAGTCTCTAGAAGCAAACGTTTAAGCCCCATTGCAAAATAACTCTTTTTTTTCCATATATAAATCTGTAATAATTTAATCATATTAAGACAGCAGAAAACAATCCAAAACAATTCAAGATATCTAAATTATAAATTATGTGATCACCTTTTATTAGCTTAGCATGTGTTTTAATCTGTAGTTTTTCAGCAACTGCTCCTCTTAGCATTAATGTGGTTTTACTTATGAGGCAGGAACATACCCAGTGGTCCTCCAATAGAAGATGTAGGCAGGTGGGTGGATAATGAGTTCCTGGTATATTGTGTTTGTTTATGTGCTTTTCTTTATATGCATGTTTTGAGGCAGCGTGTGTGGGCCGATAGCTTCCTTAGTTCATGGTTTCTTGAATGTCGTGTTAAGGACTGGTTTTCCCTGTAGCGATGTGAAGACACGGGAAGAGGGACAGACTACACTAATTTGCCTCAGCGAAGATGAGGTTCAGCATTTCCTTGTTACATCCTTTGATCCATGTTACCTCAGAGATCCCACCAGTTAAGAGAAAACCTGCTGCTCAGTTGTTCTGTTCTGCTGACAATGTTGTCTCTGCTGTTCTTTATAGCCAAAATAACAAGCTATATATAGGAACACAATGTTCTATGATCAAAGCTTGATTACTTTCCCATATTTTTTTAAATTAGACTTTCGGGAAGTCAATAAAAGGCATTTCTAAATGACACATTCCAAATGTTTTCAATTAGCTGGTGGCAATCTAATGACTCGAGCAACGGCAGTTTGATGAAGGTGCTGAGTTCATGGTTTTAAGTCTTCAGTCCGGAAGAAACACTCTCAGACACATGTAGTGAACTTGACTCATTTCTTCTTTCACTTATTACTTTCTTAAGTACCCGATTTTGTCCAAGCCACGATTTCTCAGAAAAATTTAGAAATGCCATGTTATAACATTTACAGTAAATAGATTTTGTCATCTGTGTATAAATTAGGGTGCTTTAAAAACATAAGGAAGGCGGCCAGAGTTTCTCCCAAGTGCAGAATAATTAGGCACTATTAGGCACTTAACTAAAAACTGCTGCGATTAATTATGCATGCAAAACCTTATGGAAATCGACCCATTGAAAAGATATTTTTCTTTAAAAATAAAAAATAATTTTTTTTTTCCTGAGCACTAGTGTTGTAGGAAAAAATACATTTCACCCCCTTATTTAAATATAAGAACATGACATAAAGGAGCTTAAAATGAAAAACCTAGTTAAAAAATAACTATTATTTTGAAATAAATAAATACATTTCATAATTAATAAATCTTCGAATAAATAAAAAAATATTCAAATATGATAAACATAAAATGAGAATACAATTGATTTTAACATTTATTTTGTTTCTTTAATAGCATAATTTATTTATTTAATTTTGAATAAAACGGCTTTCTATATTTGAAGAGGTACATAGATCTTTAAATATTTATCTCTCTCAGTTCTTTAAATATGATAAAATGTTTCCTTGTACTGTCATTAAAATGTTTTCTGTGTTTCCTTTGAATATTTCAACATTTCTGGTAAAGAATCTGGTTGTTATTCAAAATTGTAAAGGTTATTTTTTTTTTTTGCAACATAAAACTGACTAAAACTAGACTAAAACCTTTTTACGTTTTAGTCGACTAAAACTTACTAAAACTATGACATATCTTAATGACTAAAATGGGACTAAGACTAATAATAGTTTTCAAACTAAATCGAAGACTAAATCTAAGATGGCTATCAAAACCAACACTGGTGTTGGTTGAAATTTAGAACAACTGATGGATTTTGACTTTGGTAAAGTCAAAATCCATCAGTAATTATGCTTTCTAAAAAGCATAATACTGTTTTTTTTGCATATAAATTTAGCCCTTTCAAAAGGGCAGTTTTTTACCAAATGCAAAGGTGTATTACCATATATAATAATGATATATCAAGGTTTTTAAAGGTTTTGGTTTCAGAACTGTTACTATTTTCCATGACACTTCCTTCATTTGGCAGGAATTTTCGCTGGTTGTACAGATTGCAGGGTAACAAGGTGCTCCTAGCTGGCTGAAAAAAATGCTCCTTTACCTTTCCATCAAGTACAAAAAGACAAGGTTGGACAGATTAGAATCAAATTACAAAGGCTATCTACCCAGCAGATATCATGAAGGTGACTGAAGTTTTTCTATAATTACAGTCATGAGAGATGAGGTATTCTTTGTTAGAAAGCCATAAGTGGCATGTCTGTTAGGAAGCTGACTGCAGGCTACCTATAGTGCTGATGGACCAGCTATTCAGCTGGGCTAATCTCAGACTGTTTAATTTGCTGCTACTTAAAGAGCAGAACGCTCGATTGATATTATATTGTGTACTATGCGCACTTGCAAATTGCACAGTTCTGCATTTACTGCACATTTTGCTCAGAAATCGTTTAATATCAAACTAAATAATGTTTAAAGATTTAATTACTGAAAAGCCAATAGGCCTGGTTGAAAACCTATTTTGCCAGTAGAAACTCACTATCACATCATTTTCAGCTTCATGTAAGGTCAGATTAGCATTAAAAG